TTTAGGGTTTAGGGGGGTTAGGGTGTAGGATTTAGGGCTTCGGGGGTTTAGGGGTTGAGCGTAGCTGCCTGTGCGTTCGAGTGTAGGTACCAACTCCAACACCTACACTGATAGGGTTTAGGGATTTAGCGTTTAGGGATTTAGGAGTTGAGGGGTTTAGGGTTTATTTATTCTGGGGGGGTTGAGGGGTTTAGGGTTGAGGGTTAAGGGTTTAGGGATTTAGAGTTTTAGATTTCGGGATAGGGTTACCCGGAGGGTTTCTGTGTGTAGGGTTTTAGGAGTTTGGTTTTGAGGGTTCGGGCCTTCGGGAAGTGTTGGGTTTAGGGGTTTGGGTTTCGGGGTAAGGTTGCTGTTTTGGGGTTTTGGATTCCAAGGTTTAGACTCAGGGTTCAGGATTTTAGATGGATGTAGGGTTTACGGTTCATAGGGTCAGAGGACTACAAAAAGGTCTGTTGAGGGAAGTTGGGGTTAGGGGTGCTGTAAGTAAGGTGTTCCTTTATGAGGGAAATCGACACAGGCTCTAGGGAATTGCGGTGTTGTGCCAAAGGGTCTTGTTGTGCTGTAGGGCATGTACAGAGTCTGCATACATCGGGATTGACGTTACGGCTTCATACTTGCAGTGTTCGGGCTTCAGTTAGAAGGGAGTTTGTATGGAGGCTTCTTGAGGTCCCGATTCGTCGAGCATTGAGCCCTAATCCGTCTAAGCAATAACCCCGAAATGATACTGCAGAGAGCCTAGAGCGTTCATTAAGGGACATTCCTAATCTAGGTACTGGGCTCTCTGGGAAGCCGACCACTTAAGCCCCAAAAGCCCGAATCCGCACGTTTGGGCTTGACTCTGGCAGGAGGAGCCCGCAGGTTATCTTGCGACTACGAGGACCGCCTGGCATTGTCCGCGCCGGTGAGGGAGTAGAGGGGGCCTACAGGTTTACGAAGGTTTAGGATAGGGGTTCAGGGATGGCATTTGGTCTGAGGAGCAGTGCCGATCTCTGACAAAGCATGCCGTGTGTTCGACGGGTGCCACACTTCACCTGCTACAAGCTATATCATTTTTCTCTGCATATACTGTAGTATACTATAATGTATGATATTGCCTTGGTTTAACATTCGTTGGTTGCGGCATGCGGATTCAGCTGCTGAGCTCCCAATCGTCTGGAACCGCGAGTGAAGTCGAGATTTTGTCTTGAAACTAAGCATTCCAAATCGCCAAGATCTTGCTCGTTTCGAACCATAAAATGCCGAATATACCAGCCTTAATAATTAGAATAGGGTTTTGGGCGCCTTTTATAGTAGAAATGAGGAACCTAAATATAGGTACTTATTTAGGCTCCTATATTACGAATATAACAATGCTCTAGGAGCCTAGTGCCTTGTCGCGCCTGGGTAGAGGACGCCTGCGCGAAGATGGGCCTGCTGCCGAAGTATTCTCGTGCAGTACAGGAGCGTCGCGAGAATCTGAGGGTCGTTTTCTGGCGACTTCCGCAGACCTTAACTAAATCCTGAACCCCTAAACCCCTAGACCCTAAACATGCCTAAGAACTAAACCATTCAACCCTAAACCCTAAACATCCCTAAACATCCCTAAACACTTAACCCCTAAACCCTAAACCGCTCACATGGTTTTACAGGGCCCGGGAGACTGTAGTACCCAGGCTTTGATCTGAAGTAAGCTCACATGCTGGCAAAAAGAAAGCTTCTGAGGTTGAACCCATGGGCCTTTGGGGGATTATACTAGGGTCCCAGGGTTAAGGGCCCATACTAGGGGCCCATGGGTTCTACCGTAGAAAGCTGCTGAGCTCTTGTTAAAGGACGTAGTGTCAGTTACCATAGTAGGGGATCTAAACGTCTATAGTTAAGGGATGAAATGCAAGTTATCATAACACCTAGGGATCTACAGTAAAGACTATGGCTTCCTTCTCTTATGGTAACGTAAGCCAAGTCCCGTAAGAAGAGCCCCGGAAAGCTAGAACCGAGAGTCTTAGAGGACCGGAGGGAGCAGACTCTACTATTATCCGCAAATAACCTAGAGACTCCAAAGCCCCCTAATTAAGGAATATACCTTAAATTATAATAGGAGCCCTAATAAGATTTAAGGTATATTCCTTAATTAAGGGATATTGGAGTCTCTGGGAAACGAGAAGCCAGAAAGTTGGCACGTCATTAGGGTTTAGGGTTCACGGTTATTATCCTCATGCTCTTAAAGTAAAGCAAAGGGGATCCCAATACGAATCATTCCAAATCCATGTTCCAACTTTCTGGGATTTACTGTATACTAGGGAATACACCTACTTCCATAAAGGTATCACTTAAGGTAACATCCAGGTCTAGGTCTAGGAGTTAGCATTATATTATAGGTGTATCTTCTCATAGGTTTATATCACCAGGATATACTAATATAGAAGCCTGGCACACAGCCTTAAACGCAATCCTTTCAAACGAACCCTATTCAACAACACTGCCCTTATGGATCCCTTGTAGTAGTCGAAGGAACTCCTCGTTCGAATTATAGACGGCCCCTTTGCTAAAGGACCCCTACAGACACCCTTTATAATCCAAGAAAAATGGCAAGTACCGAAAAGTATGCGACAGTGTGGTGTGCAAAAACCCGACTGCCACAGGGCAGTCCCTTCTGCACAACCCGCAGCCTTGAACTGAGAAAGGAGCTCTGTTCTAATCCTAAAGCTGGCTGACAAAGGAGCTCTCTTCCAATCCCAAAGCTGCCTCAGAAAGAAGCTCTATTCTAATCCTAAAGCTGGCTGAACAAGGAGCTCTCTTCCAATCCTAAAGCTGGCTGACAAAGGAGCTCTATTCCAACCCTAACGCTGGCTGAACCCTAAACCCTAAACCCTAAACCCGAAACCCGAAACCCTAAACCCTAAACCCTAAACCCTAAACCCTAAACCCTAAACCCTAAACCCTAAACCCTAAACTCTAAACTCTAAACCATAACCGTTCCTAAAGCTGACCCCTCGTATCAGGAGCGTCGTGAGAGCAATCTCTTGGACTTGAGTGGCCTCGGCTTCGGAGACCTGCAGCTGCAGGCTTTGCCCCTCGAAAGCGAAGAGCCCCTTCTTGGTAGATATATATATATATATAGACATACATGTAT